TTAAGAAACAAAGGACTAAACAGCAACCTGGAAATTAGCTAGATGAGCCAAACTGAAACTAGAACACATATGAATGCAAAATAATACATTAAAACCCACATACTGGGTCACACAACCCTGTACCGTGACAATGTGCAGATGTAAAAAGAAGAAAGCAGATGGTTTACAGCCATTAAAGCTCACACATATCAAACTGAAGCAACAGGTGAAGTGTTCCTCACAGACAGTGAGGATGACCACAGCTAGCAAACTCTGTACCATGTTTGCATCGATCCTGTCAACATCAGCAGCAGCAGCATTATCTGTACTCAGACTTGTGCCGTATACTTTCTTTTTCTTTGTCTTCAGTCTGTGTACCTTCATCTCTTTCAGTCTGTGTGCCTTCATCTCTTTCAGTCTGTGTGCCTTCATCTCTGACTGTCAGTCTTCCTATCTCACTGTTACTTGTCGGTTTGCTGCAGATGTTCTCTCCCTTAGGAACTTTTCCTTTGTCATTCGCTGCCTGATGCTTTCCCTGATGACATTCTTCGCTGGCTACTTCTATTGCTCCTCCTCTATAGCCACCTACTATGCTGCACAACTCCTTTCCCTCTGCTGTGCTGCACTGTGCTGTTACATAAAGAAGAATGATATAAACAGCACTATATCAATTTAATTGTGTTGGGAAATCCCCACAATACGACACAGTTATGTCTAAAATAGTTTTGTGTAAAAACTGGATCTTGAAACGTCCACTTTAATTACACAGTCCTGGTGTGCAAAGGCAAAATTACGAAAAATCTTTCACTTTAAACATTTTTGGACATTGTTTAGTTATATTGTGACTTACTCTCAAAGAAGATACAGATGCCACAGACAGACTTTGAACAACGCATGTGCTTGTATGCACCACATTTCTGGCACTGCACCTGTGAATTAAAAAAAAAAGAAACAAACAAACAAAAAACAAATGAACAAAGTCCATTATATAAACAATCTATATGGCTAAGGACATGTCATAGCGTACCCGGTCTTTGGCTGCAATCACGAACCAGCACTAACTGCACTTCCTAGTTCGATCTGCAAAATATGATTTGTTTAAGTACAAGTTACATTTTCCAATGTTAGAGAAAAAGAAGGCAGCTAATTTTATCTTTACCTATTGAGGAAAATAAGTAGTGGCAAAGTCGGGACCTGAGCTTTGTGATTTCAGTGTTGTACTCCTCCACTTGTGTTTTACCGTCAATGAGAGATTGGGCAAACTAATAATTGACGAAGAAGAAAAAAAAAAGAACAAAAAAAATTAGATTAACAAAGAAATTTTGTTTAA